GGCGAGTGCTGGTGGTGGTGGCCGCCGGCCGGTGATGGCGTGTGGTGGCCGGCCAACGTGTGTAGTGTGTGTTTGGGTGGTGATTAAAATAAAATAAAATAAATTAAAGGGGAAAGGACAATAAGAGGAGAGAGAGAATTTACCTTTGGGTGCACTCCACCCTAGGCATATGATGGGTATTTATACCCCCTTTCATATCCCTCCTTACTTAAATTTTCTTTACTATCCTTAATGATCCCTTTCCTAATCAAACTTGTATTTTGACTTTCCATAAATACCAATGACTTTAAAATTTATCTTTTTATAAAATAATTTAATGTGCCCCAATATTTCCAAATCATGAAATAAAATATTTTCAAGATAATTTAATAATTAAAAATATACTTTTAATTAAAATCATTCTTTTTAAATTAATGAAAACCCTAAATAATTCATTTCGAATTATTTAAATATTTTAGGAAATACTTATTCAAATTAAAAATACGTATAAAAATACGGGGTATTACAACTAGCATGGCCATACCACCAAGTCAAAGATCTGCAACTACTCACGCAGGGTTTGAGTAAGAGTCGAGTAACCACTAAGTCACTTTTTTTAAAAAAAATAAAAGGGTGGAGGCCAAACATCTAGGATTTTCGAAAATCCTATGAGGAAACGCCTAAAATTTTCAAAATTCCAGGTGAGATGAGACAATCCCATCCTGAAGGTTTCGAAAATTCTAGGCAATTCTTTTCCAGTTTTTGTTTCTATAATAACATTTGATTCCGAATTCGGATTAAGACGAATAATATATTGTTGGAAAGTTCTAGATGCATGCCTACTTTCCAACCTAATTAGAATCAGATCAATATATTTTCTAGAACTTAAGATATAGCATAAATAGTGCAAAGAGTATTGGTTTCTAGCCGAGCTTATTATTTTGATCATATCTCCTTCGTTTTAAATCGAAATTAGGCTTATGATATATGATTGGAGAAATCCGATTATCTTTATTTTGGGGCTGCGATTATAAGAATAGGAAATTGGATTAAGATTTGTGGATATCACAATTATTGTTATGTCTAATTCCCTAACATCGGTGATTATTATCAAATGAGATTTTTATCAATGACATTGCATAATAATCAATAATCAATAACTTAATACTAAAAGCGAAACTAGTGATGACACATGTCATCCAGGTGCTGAAAATTTTCCCTCCATTTTATTTTATTTTTATTTATTTATTTTGTATATCCTTCCTAAAAAGTATTTATAGCCTATAAGGCTATAATATTCACTTTCCACTTTGGCAATTTTTTTTTTTACATACACACTCGAATAAAATATTTTTATATGTATATGTTTTACAGTAAGTAATTTTGTTACAAAAATGAGCATAAGTAGCATATTAATCAATAACTTAATAAGCGAAACCAGTGATGACACATGTCATCCACGGGCTGAAAATTTTCCCTCCACTTTATTTTTTTATTTTTTTTATTATTTTTTTATTTTTTGTCTATCCTTCCTAAAAAGTATTTATAGCCTATAAGGCTATAATATTCGCTTTCCACTTTGGCAATTATATTTTTTACATACACACTCGAATAAAATATTTTTATATGTATATGTTTTACATTAAGTAATTTTGTTATAAAAATGAGTATAAATAAGTAACATATTAAGATACTATAATTCTTTTTCAGTATATAACTAGATTTGGTCTCGTGCCATGCACGGTAATTTTCACTATTTATTACGGAGTATTAGTTTAACACTATATTTATTTATAATAATTATCAAATTGCAAAATAAGATAAAAATTCGTAATTACAAAAATAAAAATAAAATATATCATACTAAGGAAAATAGTGGGAGTATTACATGCACGACTAATAAAATAATTATGGATTACGTCACAAAGTTATATGTAGGAAAATATTATTGCACAGTATTAAATAAACAAATAATATTTTGTTTGATGCTTATAAATGGAATATAATTACCAAATAGTAAGGAAATATTATTGTATAGTATTAAATATTCTCTAAGAAGCTTTGGCAAAAAAAAAAAAAAAGAAAAAAAAAGCACAAAATTATCTAGTTATAGTTATAGATTTATGTGTTAAAGTAATTTGATACAATATAACGCTTTTTTTTTTAATTTATTTCATACTATAAATTAAATCCATGTGATTGTAATATATTAGGGAAAAAAAACCGCAAATAATATTAATACTAGTAATAAGAATATTTAATTTCAATTATAATAATATATAAATTAAATATTTATGGAGTATAATTTTATTGACTTAAATAAAAGAACGACACCAGGAAGTGACATGTGTTATTCCCGGTGTCTGTTTAGTATTATGTTATTGTTATTGATTGTTAAATTAATATTGTACTTTGCCATATAATTTAGTAAATCCAGTGCGGCATTGCATGGACTTTAGCTAGTTACCTAAAAAATGACAATCTTCACTTATAAAAACATGACATTATATCAATATTAAACCCTAAACATTTTTTTCCTACATCATATTAAACCCTAAAGATTTTTTTTTTTGTATTAAAACCTATAAATAACTCCCCAAGCTTTATAAAACATGACATTATATCATTATTAACCCCTAAACACTAAACTCTAATCAATTTTTTTTTTTTTTTTTTTACCAAAACCTATAAATAAATCCCCAAACTTTAACCCCCAAATTCTTGAATCTCCATCATCATCAACATCAATTTCAATCATGGTGGTAAAACGCACAGATTTCAAATCAATCCTTCCTTTTCTCCCGCCATTAACACCCCAACAATCTGGCTCAAGCTCGCTCGCATGGCCGAACCACCAAGTCACCGATGCTCTGCAACAACTCGCGCAGGGTCCGACTAAGAGCGGGGTCAACTCAGGGGAATGACTCTTCGCTGCAATTTCTCGGATCAGAGCTTCTCTCCCTCTTTCTTCCAAGGATCGATTGGCCAAATCTACTGCTGATGGGTTTGCCAAATTCTTCCGTGAGATGGTCCGGAAGAACAATATCGAAGATGGTTCGAAGATGTTGTGCCGAAAATAGGGGATTTAGTTTTACGATTGCCGGCGCTTTTGGAAGCGCATTATCGTGAGTGTGATAGTCTTGTTCCTGGGTTTTCAACTGGGCTTCGATTGTTGGAACCCCAGCAACCTGGAATCGTGTTTTTGAGTCAGGTATATTTGATTTTGTTCATTTCTTGTTGATTTATGGTTTTGATCACTGTATTTTGTATGGATTTTGGATTTTTATTTGGGTAATTATGATTATATTTTGGAAAATGATTGGAATTTTTTGTTGTTTCATGTTCTATAATTGGTGATTGTGGCGGATTTTTAGATGGGTGATTTTAATTTTGGGTTGTAGGATTTTACTGATAAACCTAAAATATTGGGATTTAACTGATTTTGGTTTTGAATTCTTGGTGCAAATTTCTATCTCAATTAAGTGTTTGATATTGTATACAATGGTCTTTGGGTCGAATTCCATCCTTCGTTGTGAGAGATTAGCCATATACTTACTCTCAGTGGAAGGAAGAACCTGTATAATTCCAATTAAACAGATACATTTTGTAGTTTATTTGTGTTATAGGAACTCTGAAACAGTCTATTGCAACTTTAGGGGAAAATTTGTGAACATATCTGACTTCACCCTACTCTAGGGTGTGTTCCTTGAAAAGACATTAGGCCAATTAGGGTAATGGTAATTTGCGCAACGTTTGAAATTTCTTAAAATTTGGAACTTCTTACATGTTATGTTGACAAGACTTTCTCAGTAGGAAATTATGTCTTAGTGCTTTTGCAGTTCTGCTCCCTCCTTTTGAAGCAATCTTGCCCCTTGCTTGTACTTTCTCCTTTAGTTTCCTCGATCAACCTTGGGCGGAACAATATATGAAATGCATTTCCTAACAATACTATTTGTGTTTTTATGTAGGAGCTTATTGCTGCTTTGCTGTCATGCTCATTCTTTTGCTTGTTTCCGACTGTTAATAGAAAGGCCAAACGTATGAAAGCAATCAACATGGATTAAATATTTTCGTATGTTAATCACCTTTTCTACACCTTTTTTTTTTTTTTTCTTTCTTCAGAAAGTTACTTCGGATGGTTCTTTCTTTTGGTGTTCTCAGGAGTCTTCATGATAGCTATCATGCAAAGCAAGAGAACAAATTGAAGTGCATCACACATTATTTTGAGAGGATATGTTCGTCAAGACCTTCGAATTATGTTTCCTATCAAAGGAAGGTTCTTTCTCCGGAGCAGAACCCATCTGTTGTTCCTCTTCCTTCAACTGATTTTTGGGCGAATTCTGTGGCTCCCTTGGTGAGTTTAAGGTAACTTTTATGTGGAATAGAATTGCATGATTTTGTTTCTAAATTTTTCTACGAGCCTATGGCTATCTCTAAAGTTCTGGACTTTCATTAAACTGTGAAATACATGACTACATTTACCCTTTCTGTCAAAGATTTTCCCTACAGGCAAGATAGAGCACCATCCTCCAGGGTCTCTGGAAGTCGATTTTGCAGATGAATATATAGGAGGACTTGTTCTGACCAAGGGGTGTGTCCAGGTAGAACCTTCCTTCTTTAAATGATTACCTTTCATTAAGTACTACAGCTCTACAGGGAATATTCTGCATGACATTGCATATTAGATTTAGATTTAAATTTGAGTGTTTTTTTTTTTTGCTGTCTCTTGGTATGGTCTGAAGCTTTAATGTATTATACTTTCTCCGTTCTTCTTTCATCGCAATGTTGGGGATTTATGTTTGCTAATGCACATTTTATAACTTTAATATCTTGCTAAGTTGTACTTATATTTTAGTAAAAATTATCAAGAGTTGATATTTTGATACAAATCTAACAAGATCCTAAATGACTATATTTTTTCTGACGTATAAATCTCAAGAGACGATCAGGGAATAGTCAATAAAGTAAAATTCTAAACATTTCAATAAAAAAGAACGGAGGATATATTAGTTATATATTACATGAAGGGGATATGGACAATTGTAGCCCACAAAGGTCCTCCTTTGATTAATCTGCTAAGTATTTGCTGTCCTGGCGTACCTGATTTGATTTTTGGTTAATTTCTTTTGCAGGAGGAAATTCGTTTCATGATGAATCCTGAATTGATTGTTGCTATGCTTTTTATGCCTTCCATGTCAGAGAATGAGGCAATAGAAATGGTTGGTGCTGAAAGGTTCTCAAATTATAGAGGGTGAGTGCTGGTGGAATCTGATGTTCAATCTTTTGAGCACTGGCATGCATGTAAGATGGTTCACAAATTGTATGAGCTTGCTGTTCATTGGTTCTGAGTAACCTTTCTTCCTTGAAATGATTGACATTGTCTTTTTTACATTGTCTATGTACTTGAAAGACCTTATCAAGGTTGACCATTACTCTTTTATTAAAGTTATACATGCATTTATTGACATTTTCTTTGTTTTGGGTGTTGACATTGTATAATTAAATGGTCATTATACTCATGCTTATTCCCATCTTGCATTTTTGCTATTCAATGTAGGTATAATGCTTCATTTCAATATGCTGGTGATTACATAGATAGAAGGGGAGTTGATGCTTTGCAGAGACGTGTGTCAAGAGTTATTGCAATAGATGCACTGCGTAAGGCAGGAACAAAGCAGTATAAGAGTGAATTTCTCTTGAGGTTTCTTTCCTATTTGAATTTTATCTAGTAGTTGTACAAGTAACTATAATATACAAAATGTATTTTGCTGTGTCTTCTTTCATATTTTGAGTTAGACACATGGTGTTAACTTATAAGATTGTGGTGGCTGATAGTGGCAGTTGGGTTTCGTCTAAGAAAGGGTTGAATGGTGGCACTGGATGATTTTCAAGTGTTACTGCTTTCCTAAACTTTTTGTTTCTCCTTCCCCACCCTTGATTACTTTTCATTCACAATAGTGTGGTTTGGTGGGGGATTTAAGGACTTGATTTGACGCTACATCAGGTGGATGTTACACCCAAAGGATTTTGAAGGTAGGTGATTGTCTTTTTACTCCACTTAGGATTGTTGAAACATAAATTTTCAGTTAGTTGGTCTGATTTCAATGGTCGTTTGATATATATTAGGTGTGGTGCACAGAATGCTATGAGCCCATGACCAACTGTTTTCTCCCCCCTTTTTTCTTGGGGAATTGGGGAAAATACTACTACATGTTTTAATATTTGTTTGCTGAGGTTGGTGACATAACTTCTAATTTTGGCAGGGAGGTTAACAAGAAATTCTGTGGCTTCCTGGATCATTCTGAGTATCTGCAGCACCAGCAACATGTGCCTGGATGCAATGTTGGTATTGTTACTGGAAACTGGGGCTGTGGTATTTTTGGTGGAGATCCTCAAATTAAGTCAATGATACAGTGGGTTTCTGCATCTCAGGTGAGCCTTACACCACAATACAACATTGGCTTTATAGTCAATTGAATCTGCATTTGACCCAGTGCCTTCTTTCGTTTCATTCTTATTTCCTTGGTGATATGACCTAGTCATTTTCTGAATAGACGAACAGAAAATGGAGGCTTTTGTCCCAACATAGAATTATTAATGCTACTAGCAAGTTTATGTAATATTACGTAAATCTTGATGGGTTGGCACATGTGCTGAATGAGATGTAGATACACCTTTATCAGTGGATTTTGCTACGCAGAAGAGCTAAAGTATGATTCAGTCCTAGAAGCCTGGATAGTGGATACTATGATGTGAATGACCCTGTTTAATGAGATAGTTGTTTAGTGAAAGTGCCTCACTGCCCCCACCTCTCTTGTCATCTAGAAAAATGGGATGTAATGTGGTTGAATTAATCCTGTAAGGGCGTTTCTGCTTTCTCTTTTTGATGAATTCTAATGTTTTATTGCCAATTTTCGACTTTACAGGCTTCCAGACCTTTTGTCTCGTAGTACATTTGGATTGGATAAATTGCGAAATTTGGATAAGGTATGCCTGACTCAGCCTGAGTACCATTAACTTTACGTAATAGATGTTCTTTCTAACTATTATAGAGGTTGATATCATGTTCCTTCTTGGATTTATGCAAAAAAAAATTTAAATTTATTTTCAATCTCGGTGTTCTTTATCATGTAATCTTGTTACTTCTCAAACCCTGTACCAATGCGTTTGCTTATCAATATTTTGTATGCAAATATTCAAATATTACTACAGTTTTTAATGGTTATGATGTGTCTTATAATATTTCAGTGTGATGCAGGTGGTTGAATGGATTGTGTCTCAAAAATGGACTGTTGGAGACCTATGGAACAAGCTGGTCGAGTATGGTGTTCAGCGGGAAAGTAAAAAAGAGATTGGATTCTTTTCTTATCTGCTTCCTTCTCTAAAGGAAGAGTCTGCCATCTCTTCTAAACACCGTCGTGGCAGTGATGCTGAAGGGGCTTCTCGTGGCCGCGTCCGTGGCAGATTCAGGAAATGAACAGTGGCGGTGGACTGGTGGTCTGATGGAAATTGGCAAAATTTTAAATCAACCTCGTCAATATACAGTATATGAATACGTATTTCCATAATTAGGTGCTACTTTTTTTTTTCGTAAATAATTCATATCAACTGAATAGATAGGCCTAGGAATAAATTTAGCTGTTGACTGCAAAAAATTTGTTTGCAGTTGATGTTTCTATTCAAAGTGAAAATTTGAATAGAATCGATTTGTCTTAGAGTTGACTTTGATTTGAGAAGGTAAATAAATTTGGAATAAAATTACAAATTGAGCTGATATTCCGAGACCGAAAATTGAAACTTGAAAGGAGTTGAAGGCTTTGCTAGATATGCTGAGAAAATACAAGTTTTTCAACCTACCAAAGAGGCACGCTGGCTTTTCCCTGTAAAAAAAGATGGGCTATTTATGTCATTTCATCAGTTTCGTATGAGATGGTAAATTAACTCTGATAATGCCTAGTTTTTTCTTTTTAACTAACTTGATAGTTGATACTAGTAATTTTGTTTAATTTCAACTTATTTTTACCAAAAGAGAACATGGTCAAATAAAAGTCAAATGGAGAATATAAACAGTTGAACAGAGAGATTGGGTTTGATTTAGTCTTTGATTTCTAGAACAGGTTAATGCTTTGTGCTTTTTATTGACTCGGCAACTTTTCTTTGTTGGAGAATATTGATTTATTCTCATTTCTATTGATTGATGCTTATATATCCACCACCTTGGCACCTTGAAATGGTTACTAAAATCAATGGCAAAACCATCAATGGAAAATCGTATCGATTTCAATTCAATTCTAGCATTTCTCCCACCATTAACAACCCAACTATCAGGCCATTTAGCATGGCCAAATCAGCAATTCATTGATGCACTCAAATTGGTCTCTCAAGGGCCGAGTCTAAGTCAAGTTAACTCGGGTGCACAACTTTTTATTATAATTTCACAACTCAGGGATTCTCTTCCTTTCTCCTCTGATCAAGATCGTTTAGCAACATTTACTAGTAATGGGTTCAAGCGATTTTTTGATAAGTTGTTACCTAAGGACATAACCATGAAATGGTTTGGTGAAGTTGTACCTGTAATGGCTGATTTGGTATTAAGATTACCATCACTTCTTGAAATGCATTATCAAAATTGTGACGATATTATACCTGGAGTATCTACTGGTCTTCGGTTATTGGAGCCACAACAACCAGGCATTGTTTTTCTCAATCAGGTGTGTTACATTACTAATAATAACATAAACTTATACTTGTTTCTTGATGCAATTGTATGATTTTTGGGTACTTATTGTGTTTAACTTAAAAGGATTGCAATTACGTTGTACATCCTTTGTTCCTATTTGTTCTTTTCATTTCCTTTCGACACATTTGCCTATTATGCTTTCTTTCCTCTGTTCCTAGCTGTGAAAGCTGTTGATTTCATTAGTCACTGTGCTTGATTGGTAATGAATTATGGGTTTGTAAATCTGTGTTCATGATATGGAAAAAGAAATGTGGCTTACTTGTGTATGTGTCTATATGTTTGTGGGCGACAATGTAAATTTTGATATAATATTCCATATTTTAAGAGTAGTTTGATTTGGTTAGACTACAGTAAAAGGATTATTAGGATGTCAGCAAGTGAAAACTTTGAGCAAGTTCACATAAAACTTTGAGCAAGTCCACATAATATATGATTGACTCACCTCTGGACTGATCTGTGAGGTGGTTACGGTCTCTCACCCACCAACCTAGCTCGCCTTTGAGCTCATCTCACAGGCCGAGGCCATGTCTTATGTCTAGAGAGGATCCTTCCATTGTAAAGGTTGATTGTTAATGATACAATTTTAAGATGGATGGGCTAAATTTATGTTATAGATATGTAAATTGAAGAAGTGCGCTTCTTTCAGAAATATATGTTGCATAGTGTAGTAAAATAATTAAGGACTTGCAAGGATATCCATACACAAGAATGAGAAACTGTTGTACACTTGTAATTGAGAATTGAGACCTTTCTTGATTATGATGAATGAGTAGTTAGTAATATTGTAATCACTTGGCTAAATTTTTGGCAAGTTGGTATTACATTTTGTACATATGGCGTGTTTGCAATTCTGTTGTTTGATCATCAGTTATACGTACTATTCACGTAGTCAAAGGTGTGCATTAGAGACCACGTTGAGGAAATGAGGGTGTACGAAGTCTTGTTTTAAAAAATGGGTTTTCTAATGGCAAAGTGTTATGTTTTCATGTAGGAGCTTATTGCTGCTCTGCTGTCATGTTCGTTCTTCTGCTTATTTCCGACGGTGATTGTTGATAGATACGCCAATCTTATGCAGGCATTCAACATGGATCGAATGTTTGCGTATGCTAGTCACTTATGCCTTAGTCACTCTCTTTTGTTTAGACTACTTAGTTTCTAATGTACTTACACTGGATGGATCTTTATTTTGGTGTTCTCAGGAGTGTTCATGATAGGTACCCTGAACAAGAAAACAGAATCATGTGCATCATACATTACTTTGAGAGAGTATGTACATCAACACCTTCAAACTTTGTTTCATTTGAACGGAAAGTTCTTTCGCTTGAGCAAAATCCATCTGTTGTTTCTCTTCCACCTCCTGAACTCTGGGCCAACTCTGCGGTTCCCCTCTGCAAGTTTAAGGTAACTATTATCTGTAACATAGGTGCTTCGTCGATTTGAACCATGGGATATTTGGCTGATGTTCTGATTTTCTTTGTAAGGTTTTTTCTACGGGTATGATAGAGGACCATCCTCCAGGGTCTCTTGAAGTTGACTTTGCAGACGAGTATATAGGAGGACTTTCTCTGACTGATGGATGTCTTCAGGTTGTTACTGAACTTGCTGCTAAATATTTTAAGGCACATCTTGCATGACAGAATTGACATTGCATTTGTATTTCGCTTATTATAGAAGTCTTGTCTCCTTTACATGCTCTGAAGCCTTGATTATGTTATGTTTTGTTATACTGTAAAGTGTGAAGTGTATGCTGTTAATGCATGTTATGACAAAGCTAAGGACTTTCTTTTTTTAATTGATGTCCTGGAGAATCTAACTTAAAACTGGTGGTGTGCGCAGGAGGAAATCCGGTTCATGATCAATCCGGAACTGATTGCTGCCATGCTCTTCTTGCCGGCCATGTCAGCAAATGAGGCAATAGAAATTGTTGGTGCTGAAAGGTTCTCAAATTATAAAGGGTGAGAGCTACTGGAACTTAATTCATTAAACTTTAAGCACTTGTATTATAACGGTCCTTATTAGCTTCCAAGAATTATATATCAGAGTCGAACTTGATATATACATAGATTATATGCTAGCTATTGATGACGAGGTTTTTTTCATTTTTGGACTAGCCAGAATTCCCCTTATTACATGATGCAACAGGTATGCAGGTTACAATAATCTTGACTTTTGTGTAGGTATGATGCTAGTTTTCAATACGACGGGGATCATGTGGACAACAAGGGAATAGATTCAATGGGAAGACGTATGTCAAGAGTTATTGCAATAGATGCATTACGCTTGGGCAGGGGAGGAGCTGTACAGTATAAGCATAAAAATCTCTTGAGGTTTGACATCGATCTTGTCCATTAGTAACTACTACTAATAATTCATAACAGAGTTTGCTATGTATTCTGCTAACATATTGTAACTTTGATTTTGCAGGGAGGTTAACAAGGCATTTTGTGGCTTCCTGGATCATTCCAAACATCAGCAGCAACAGGTGCCTGATATTGATGAGGGGATTGTGACCGGTAACTGGGGTTGTGGTGTTTTCGGAGGAGATCCTGAAGTTAAGTCGATCATACAATGGGTTGCTGCATCTCAGGTGAGTGTACACATTACTAAGACATAAAAAAAATTTGTTAGCTTTTGTGACATCTGAATCTGTTTCAGTTGTCTATAGTTTTCTTCAATTACAGATACGGTTAGAGGGTTGCTCGAATATTATTTACATAACGAGCCTCATAGAGAAGACTATGTAGTAAAATAGTTTATCATGAACTCTAATGTTTTACTTCTAATATGTATTACCATCAATCTTCATTCACAGGCTTCAAGATCATTTGTGTCATACTATACATTTGAATTGGAAAAACTGCGAAATTTGGATCAGGTATTTTTTCATTGGGAACTACTTTTTACAAATCTAGTTACTCCCATATCATACCATAATGTTTGTTTATGAACTCAACCAAATAACCAAAATAGACTGAAAACTGATATATTGTTAGACCGAAACCTGAAGCAGCACAATTTAACATTTCTGTTGGCCTTGATCAATGTATCCTGTAATCTGTTATATATTATGCAGGTGGTTAGATGGATTGTGTCCCGGAATTGGAACGTTGGAGAAGCATGGAACAAGTTATCTGATTATAGTAGCAAGCGGGCAAATGGAGAAACAAAGCTTGGCTTCTTTTCTTATCTAATTCCTTCTCTGCAACAAGACTCTGGTAGCAGTTCTAATTATAGTCACTGAGCTATTTAAGGACCGAGTGCTTTATTTCAAGGGCAACCTATTTTTATTTACAATAAGTCTTATGTAAGGCGAGCTTACGTTAATTTATTTTAAGACGCTTGATTTAAGGGTAACTGTAACAATTTTTTATAGTAACTTTAATCCCTTTAGCGGTAACTATCGAGCTTGATTGAATTTTAATGTGTAATCTCCAATGGATACATGCTATAAAGGTTAGTATGATTAGTCTAATACATTATAAGTGTTTTTCAAGGTAAAATTTATGTTCAAAAAATGGTAACTCTTATAGTATATAAGGATAGTTTTAATCCGTTTTACAATAATTTAATGAGAGTTCGCCTTAATTAAGAATTTGTGTTTTTCATATGTAAAAAAAAAAAAAACTATATGTCGAAGATGAGTTGTTTTATTTTATGTCACGAATCTTAACTGAAATGTGTAACGTGTAACATTGAAGATGATCGAGTTGTTTTATTTTAGTATGTATAGTTAATCAATCTGACTTGTTATTCGAAAATTTTTATATGCACCTTGGCATCTATCTCAAAATCATCAAATCATTAGAGATAGGAAAATTTGAAAAATACCACCAACAATTATACCCATATTTTACAAAACCACCAAATTTTTTTATTTTTTTTTATTTACCACCAACAATTGTTCAAAACCTTAAAAATTACCACCTACTTTCCCAACCCCTCTATAGTGATGTCATAGGGGGCCCCACTCTTCAATTTCCCTCATTTTCCCCTTCTCTTCTCTCGATTCTCACCTTTGTTCTTCCATCTTCTTCCCTTTCTCTACTTAATTTGCGAAAAAATTGCAATTAATGCGGCAATTAGGGTTTGAATTCACCATTCTTACTCATGCCAAACAACAATGCAACACCAATTCCATGATTATGTTAGTAAAAAGGTAATAATAGAGGTGAGAATCGAAAAAAGAGAAAGGGAAAAGTAGGGAGATTGAAGAGTGGGGCCCACCATGACGACATTGGGCAAACAAGTGGTAATTTTTAAAGTTTTGAAGAATAGTTGGTGGTAAATTAAAAAAAAAATATTGTTAGTGGTTTTGTAAAAAATGGGTATAATTGTTGGTGGTATTTTTCAAATTTTTCTTAGAGATATTGAAGATATCAATATATTATATTACCTTTGTTTCTTATTATGTGCAACAAAGGGGGACTCCGTATTCATGATATATTATTACGTAATTATGTTTTTATTATTCTTTGTAATCGTTGATATGTATTTTAATGATTTTGTGTACATTCTAGTGATTAAGTTACCATTATTACTCTATTGTAACAATATAAATATTTGTATAATCTCATCAATATATTCAAGCTTGTCCGACGGACATACATTCTCTATCAGTCTATCTCATAACCCTATAGTATTGAATCGTGTGAGATTAAAGGCAAAAACTTTGGAATGGCTCATATTCAAGTGCACCGTGCATTGTAACTGTGGAGCTCGTCATGCATGAGCGGCAAGCTAAAGTTCTAGCCTTTAAAATAGGAGTAATAAATATTTTAAATGCTGTCCTTTCTACCATGGCAAAGGCCAAACTTGCTTATATTTTTAAATTATATCAAATTGTATAGAATAGCTAAAATTCTTTTAATTTTACTACTCGTATCAACTTTCAAAAAAAATCAGTCAGCAAAAAATTCAAAATCATCTAATTTGACTACCGAAAGTACTATTGCTTAACGACCAAAATCAAACATAATTTATGGTTTTTTTTTTTTTTTTTTTTTGACAGGAATTTATGGTATAATTTTATCTAATCACAACATGGTTTATAATAATAACCATTTTATACTTTATACTTTATTGTGGGACTTTTTATAAAAATATTCGTAATAATTTCAACAAAAACAATTATAGCTTGCTGTGCCTACAAACATTGTTTTTGTAGTAGGTGAGCTTTTGAAATTTTGTCCTAATTTTTTTTCTTCTAAAAATTAGTTATGAAGTATATATAATAAATTAATTTTCCAAATAATTAATAATTTTGTTCAAATAAATAGCTTAATTTAATCAAGGAGTATATACATATATATACACTTTTGACCTTTAGTTTTTGGGTCATAACAAAAAACCATTAGCCATGAGCTATCCAACTCATATTCATCTTACAATAATTTTCTTGTTTTGGGTGGTACTACAATATGTGGCACGAGGTGTAATAGCATCACCGGCGCCACCGGCGCCACAAGTCCTGGCTCCGCATTGTCCCGATAAGTGTGGAAACGTTAGCGTTCCGTATCCCTTCGGGTTGGAAGATGGTTGTTACTACGAAGACCCTCATAACAATTTCAAAATATCGTGTGATCGTACCATGACACCACCAACGGCATATTTCGGTACAAGTTTTGCAGTATTTAACACGTCGGTACTTACGGGAGAAATATGCATTAGACGTGACATATCGTACGATTGTTACAATAAAAATCAATCCAACAGTAATTACACGGCCTTAGTCAACATACGAGGGTTCACGATCTCTAGTACAAATAATTTGTTAATTGCCATGGGGTGCGACACTTATGTTTGGTTCACCGGGGTACGGCATGGTAAGCCGTACCAAACCGGTTGCATGACTAAGTGTGGCACCCTAGACGAAGTCTCCGATAATGCTTGTAACGGGGTTGGCTGTTGTATAGCCTCGCTCCCGGATGAAGTGACCAACATATCGACTACAATTGGTAGTTATTCGAACCATAGTGGCGTGCCGTTCAGCCCGTGTAGCGTTGCATACCCGGCTGCGGTGAACGAGTACAGGTACAATAAAATGGATTTAACTAGGGACTTGAAATTCTTCAGAGAAAATAGAGTTCAGATTCCTGTGGTTTTTAATTGGGCAATTGGATCACAAAATTGTTCAGTTGCACAAGAAGATGGGAGTTTTTTGTGTAAAAGTAATACATTATGTGTTGATCCACCTAACCAACAAGGGTATCATTGCAAATGTAAGGATGGATTTATAGGGAATCCTTATCTTCCTCAAGGTTGTGCAGGTATGATTTCTTTACATCTTAATTATTAAATATTCTTGAGTTCTTGGTTTCATTTCAAACTTTAAGTATTACTCCTTTAATTTATACTCGACCCGACCCAAGCATATATAATCCGAACTTAACTTAAAATCCGAATTGACCTGACCCAAATGAACTATTTGTTAGGTCTAATAAATCTATTAAGAATTACTCCGTATGAATAAGATTATTTTTTCTCACCCACTAGGCTAAAAATAAAAAAACTTCACTTTGCATTCGTTTTCGTCTATAAATAATTGCATGGATAAATTTCAATCTCAATCTAAAACGGTCATGAATATGATTCATTGAATATCAAATGTAGGTTTCTTTTGCTTTTGTCAAAAAAAAAAAAAAAAAAAAAAGAATATCAAATGTAGGCAAGCAATGTAGCTGCGTAGAGGCCACATGGCCACTTTATGGTACACAATTTTTAATTGTATCACCCAATTGGCCACTTGGTTTACAAAATTAGCAATCATACGTAGTAATGGTAGTATGGCTTAGCTTAGCACAATAGCACCCACATGCCAACTACTTTAGTTAATAGTATCTTCTCTACCTATATAGCTCCATTATTATTTAATTAGTCTAATTAACTTCAAATAGAAGTCCGTTGCATTGTAAATCTGTATACCAAAAAAATTAAAAAATAAATAAATAAATAAATAAATAAAGTCAAAATACATTACGAAATTATTAGAGTGAGAATAGATTATAAGAAGAAAAAATACACGGATTAAGTTGAAACTTAAACATAAAATGGATACGAACGTACGGTACAACAAATAATGGGTAAAGTGTATTAAAAAATTATAAAAAAATATTTCCTTATTTTGTATTACTATCTATTTATTTTTTGTTTTGTCTATAAAATCATAATATTTATTTATTATAATAATTTTTTTGAAGATTATAATTTTAATTGATCATTTTTGTATTAAAATTCTCTATACACTTCTATATTTTAATTCTCAATAATTCAAAAAATCAAGAGCATAGCATAAGAATTATCTAGTTCTCTAATTAGAGGAGAGATTATACCATGCTAAATATTGAATTGAGAAGTCAAAATATGCCGTTCAATATAAATTTAGCATTTGCCGCTAATAAGATGCTACTTGATAGTCTTTTTTTTTTTTTGAAGGGACTTGATAGTCTAATTTATTTCTACTTGTAATATTTGATTTAAAAATTGTTTAAATTAAAACCAATTTCTACATATGAGGTCACATTTTGTTTTCAATGGGCTCACCCTTCCAAATTTATTTATTGTCTTGGTTAAAATATGTTTTCTATATTCAACTAATCTCTCTATTATATTGTACGAAGTAATAAAAATTTATTGTGAATCATGTAAGGTAGATATGCTTAAATGTGTTTTTATTTATCAATCAATATATATAATACAAAAACAGATATCATGAATGATACGTGTCAATTCCTATTGTAATATTTTCCCTTCAAAATCATCCTCCATCTTTTCTTGCCAAAATCTGCATTTTAGAGAATATTTATATAGCACAATTTGTTATTGGTCTTCTTATTTCTTCTATACATACATATAATCAACTAAAATTTTATTCTAAATATGTTATAATTCGTATCTTTTCTTTCCAAAATCTTTTAAAAGAATGTTTGTATAATATGATTTCCTAGTTGGTCATTTTTTTATTTTTTATTATTATTATTTTTTTATTTTTTTGGTAATCAGGCTTTTTTATTTAATGAGATGCTATTTGTATTGTGTTGGGAAAAATAAACTGATTTTACAATTTTCTTTTCCTCAAAAAGATCACAAGATCGCTTTGACAATCGAGCTAAGCTGAACGTACTCTCTTTCCTCTAATTAATCTAATCTCATCCTATCCCCCATCGCTTATTTTGTTTGTTTTTCTTATCCACTTTGCTCCTATGTACCATTGAATTAAAGATTGGATCGGAGTACCAAACATTATTATTGTAAGTTACGTATTGATTTTAAATCATTTCAATAATATATAACTTTAATTTACGCAAATTTTTTTGGTTAAATCCGTGCATCGTGCGGGCACTAACCTAGTTTTTTTAGTTACTAACACCAAAATGCAAGCTTCTTTACTCCATTTATTTGTATCCTTTACAATTCTTTCTTGTGTTAAAATTGGTAATAGTATATTATTTTTAACTTACAAATCTACCTTTTTCTACCCATACAACCACCATACATGCTAAGTTACTACTAGTGATTTTTCCTCAAAAAAAAAAAAAAACAAACAAAAAAAAGTTACTACTAGTGATTAATTGGCCCAATTCATGATTCTATCCAAAACAAACTACGAAGTATTTTCGAAAGATATTGTACGGTACTATTTTGACCACTTTAAAAAAAGAAAAAATAGTGAATGCTTAATAAAAGTAATTATTGGCAATTTAATTAGCTTCATGAATATTAAATTTCTTATATTTTCAGATATTGATGAATGCAAGCAATCTAATGATTGCGAGAAGCCAGAGTATTGTGTCAACCAAATTGGAAGTTATGATTGCAAATGTCCAAAGGGCTTCCACGGGAATGGGACTAAAGCCCAACCTTGCAGTTCTGATAAAAAGTCTTGGATCATACCCGTTGTGGCCACAGCAGGTAATAAAAAACTAACTACTCATTTTAAGTGTTGTTGTTTCGTGATATGTAATAAAAGTATTTGTATTCTAAATAAAAGTAACGGAGTATATTCAATGTTTTTATTTTTTCTAGTTTGTTGATTTTATAATTTTGCCACGTTCATAGGTGTTGCGGGTGCTATGATGATTCTACTCGTAGTTGGATTTATTCTGTATTGGAAACACGGGAAAATTAAAAACCAACAAATCCGAGAAAAAAATTTCCGTCAAAATGGAGGTTTACTTTTACATCAGAAACTCTCGGGTCGAAAGATTGACGGGTTAAAGGTTTTCACGGCACAAGATCTTGAAATAGCAACGAACAATTATAGTGAAAAATATGTAATTGGAAGAGGAGGTTTCGGCATTGTTTACAAAGGCATTTTAACCAATAATCAACATATCGCGATCAAAAGATCACTCAAGGTGGATCCACGCCAAGTTGAGCAATTCATCAATGAAGTTATTGTTTTATCACAAATCAACAACAGAAACGTGGTCAAGTTACTAGGTTGTTGTCTTGAGACCGAGGTGCCACTATTGGTGTACGAGTTCATTACCAATGGTACGTTATATGACCACTTAGTCGATGCAGTGAAGGCATCGATTTTAACGTGGAACACACGTCTGAAGATAGCTTTGGAGGTTGCTAACGTGTTGTCGTATTTGCACACCACAATCTCAACACCGATTATTCACAGAGATATCAAGTCGATGAACATACTCTTAGATGATAATTACACGGCTAAGGTAGCCGACTTTGGAGCTTCAAGGTTGGTTCCGGAGGACAAAGGTCAAATAGCTACAATGGTACAAGGAACATGGGGGTACTTGGATCCAGAGTATATGCAAACGAGGAAACTAACTGAAAAGAGCGATGTTTATAGCTTTGGCGTTGTCTTAGCAGAGCTAATAACTCGAAAAAGGGCAATATGTTATGATAGGGCCGATGATGAGACAAGTCTTGCTATGCATCTACTCATTCAAATGAAAGAAGATCAATTGTTGAGTATTCTTGACAAAACCATAGTAAGTGAGGGTACAATCGAGCAAATACAACAAATGGCTAATCTAGCTACGTGGTGCTTAATGGTCAAAGCCGAAGACAGGCCGAGCATGAAGGAAGTTGCCATAGAGCTCGAGACGATAAAAAGACTACGTTCGCAGCCGTCGTGGAGTAGTAAGGACGGATCATTTCAAGAAGACAGTGTTAGTGAAACATTGCTCGAAGGATATCCAAGATCGGGTACCACTACTAGTGGTTGTAGCAGTAGTATGGAGGTAGACTTGTATAATCCACGTTTAGATTCAATTTTAGCTGATGGAAGGTAATTAATTATGGTGTATTAATATGTAACTAGTGAGTATCTCGGGCAATGTCCACGATTAACTTTTTGTAATCTATGTCTAGTGAGAAAAATCTTAATGCCATGACATTATAAGTAATTGTTTAATAATTTCAACAAACACCTGGAAATGAAAAAATAGCTTATATTAATATGCTTTTTACAATAAATTACATGATAGAAGATGTTTATATTTCATCCTCTTTTCCCCTCAAATTTACAAAGTTTAGATACTTTAGAGGCTTGAAGAGGAGCACCAATTTCTATATTCAGCGCAATCGAAGGTAAATTTATGCTTTCTCTAGCAATTCAAACTCTCAAATTTCTAAATTTCAGGTTATTTTTTCGAATTATCTCTTTAACCATGTTAGATTATCAAGTAATGGAAAACCTAATTTGATTTTGATTTCAATTTCACTCTCCTTTCATTAATTTTCCCAATATCAACTTTAATTTTTTTCCGCTTTGATAATGCATTTTACTTGGGGTTTTCGATTTGCTTTATATTTTAATTTTTAATTTTGTTGTTCTTCATTTGATTTCACAATTGAAGGATAATTTTGGCGCTCTAAGCTTGAAGTTAAGGTTTCTACTCTTGAATTTGTTCCTCATCAATCAAATACGTACTCAAGTATGATAAGTCATCGATAATTCAATTTATTTGGCTTAAAGATAAAATGACACGTACCAATCGAATGAAAAATCTAATACTCCGTAATTATTAATGACACGATACGAAAAATGACACATAAATAAATGACCTGATATCAACCTAATAATAAGGTAAAAACTCAATAATTACTCTAGTTTAAAAAAATGACCTTATTTGAATATTGAATTTGGTCAACCTGACCAAAATTCGGGTAAACACTAAAAGGGTCTGGTCGAAATTGACCTAATACTGAATCAACCTTGTCTTAATCAAGCCAAACTTAACCGAACCAAAATCATCTGAGCTGGAATCAAACCCGACCCAAAGTCATTTAACTTGAAATTAAATCGATTAAACCTGTTTTGAACTCAATTCAAATTTATTCAAACCAAATATGAACAAATCTGATGTTAACCCGACCCAACCTTGACAGATTTTGACCCGAAATTGACTCAATTTGAAGTGACCCAACTTGACCTAGGACGGGTTAAAAGGGTATTTTTGACCCAAACATAACACAACAACAACAACAACAAAAAAAAAAAAAAAAAAAAAAAAAGAGTTTTACAAAGAAAATTGACTGTTCCGTTAATTCGGTTAAATACGTCTTTCTCAACCTCAGAAACATTATCCATTCAATCAAAGTACCAACACTACACAGGATTAGCTTACAGAAGCTTTCACTATGACAACTATGGCTGCTTCTGCTTCTGCTCTGCTTTCTCCTCTCGGTATACTTCTCTCTCTCCTCCTTCCCCTCGCCTTTATTGCTTCTTAATCAAATTCTTTACATTTATGTCAAAAATTCCCCTTCTTTTTCTCATATTTTTTATCAATTTAATTCATTGCTTCTGTTCGGAAATAATAGTCACATTGTCTATCCTAATATCTGACTTCACCACTAAATTCGAATTTGGGACTTGGGGATTTCTTTAGGATCTATTAAGTGGATGTCTATAAATCTATAATTGATCTTGTATTAAACTGCATTTTTGCTAGCTGAGACAATTTATTAGCTTGATAAATTCATGTATGTATTTTTCAATTCACTAATTTGGGTGGTTTTGTAGCTTTTAGTGGCTCAACCAATTATTATACAAACAAGGCAAAACAATGTGTTGTGATTCGATGTTCGAAAATGAGACATGCTCCACTTGAAATGTCATCTATGGAAGGCTCTAGATTGAATTTATATTATCGTCGGAATGTTGTTGGATTGCTTCTTGGACTTTCTTGTCTCAGAATAGACTCCAATGAGGCGATCGCGAATGCTGCAGGCTTGCCTCCAGAGGATAAGCCAAAACTATGTGATGAAGCCTGTGAGAAGGAGCTTGAAAATGTAGGTGAGATTGCTTACACCTTTTACTAAGACTACTCTTTATAACTAGAATTAACTTACATTGTAATTTTGTTTGTTCTCTCTTCATTGCAAAGCTTCATAGCCTGATTACACATTCGAAATACTGTAGCATCAATATTATGTACTTCATGTCATCTTGCATTTATATTTCTATGCAATTGATAAGAAAGCAAAGTGCTTTCAGTTTATAATAATCCAAGTGGGCTACCCCTCCTATTGCCAGTTGGTTTTAGGATGGAACCTCAATGTGGGCTCTGGTTTGTGGGCTTTTGCGCTTCTCTCCCTTGTTCTCCCCCATCTATTATAACAAACATGAAATTAAAAGGGTGAGGACTTGCCAATATAGTTTTGGATAATGCTTGTATCCATTGCTACATCACGATATCCTTGTTAAAACCGTGCTCTGATGCTGATATTAACAACATTAAACTTTCTTTATGGGTGATTCATGAGACAGCTAATATATAGGGCCAATCTTTTCTGTTAATTCACAGTTTTTCCTTTTGAGTTTTTAAGACTTTTAACCATGATGTGCCAAACCTTTGAGGTTGAAGGATCAAACCCCCTTTTGCCCCGAAAGCCCTCCAAACTATTTTGTATCTAAACAAACAACTGGTAGTTGCATTAGAATTTTGATAGATATCGAGGTTTATGGGAATAGTAAGTTTTAATTTGCATATGGATCTTCCTTTATGTTCTATACAACGTACTAATTTTCAAAGTTTCCTCTTCTTTGAAGGTACCCATGGTAACAACAGAATCTGGATTGCAGTACAAAGACATTAAGATCGGTGATGGTCCGAGTCCACCAATTGGTTTTCAGGTATATATGTAAGATATATTCAGAGAGTGAGAAACTGTTTTTAAGTTTGAAATCAACTTAAGACTGTACTTAAACTTATTTATTTCATCAGAAATGCTTGTTATTACAGACAACTTTCATGTTGGTTTCATGTAGCTTCTTTGACTGCAGGTTGCTGCAAACTATGTTGCAATGGTTCCTTCTGGACAGATTTTTGACAGGTAATAACTACTTCGTATGATTTACTTATTACATTACTTATTTTTAAAATGATTAATTCCGTTTGAAATAATGTTGATTTTTCTTGCTGGACTGTTCATTCAACTTATCTTTAAACATTTTATAAAATAAAATCTTGTTTTTTTTGTTAAACACATCAACTGATAAGTTAAATTGAAGCTTCATCTGATATTCTTGGACACTGTCCAATTGAATTAGTTAAGCTGTAGCTGCTGCACTACTGCTATTAAGGGGTCAATTCGAATTATTTTGTACAAGTATTTACAAAATTTTAAGTATCAGTGATTTATTATTGAACCTATTGCTGCAGTTCTCTTGAGAAGAATCAGCTTTACATCTTTCGAGTTGGCTCGGGCCAGGTAAATACCTTGCTTTATACTTCTCGTGATTTAAATTGTATGTGATAGTGTGATACTAACAATCAAGAATCTTCAATGGATATATGTTCAGGTATAGAACTGAAGCTGATCAGTTTTTATGTGTGATTTATTTTTATTTGTTGACTAGGAGAGGAGAATCCTTTGATGTAATATATACTTTTGAGTAGTTGTTTTTGGATAAATCAATTAGAATAAACCACCTCCTCTAATTTTGATACATTCTCGAATTACAGCTAATATTGTTAATTGCTAGAACAGGTGATCAAGGGACTTGACGAAGGACTCCTTACCATGAAAGCTGGTGGTAAACGGAGACTCTACATTCCAGGACCAGTGAGCATTTTCGCCTTATCTTTTCCTCCCTCTTGCTTTCAAATTTTTCTTGGGTTTGATTTCATATCTACTCAAACAATATATGCTCTCACTTAAGACTGATTTTTATTTTAAAAAAAAAAACATACAACTCGAGTGAACACCTCTGAAGTAGGCCATCTGCAACCTTGTAATCTTATGCTTAGCTGTTGTTTGCTATTTAGCTTCAGAAAAGCTTACATTTTTCGTTCTGTTGAGCAGTTGGCATTTCCAAAAGGCCTGACCTCAGCTCCTGGAAGGCCTCGTGTTGCACCCAATAGTCCGGTTATCTTTGATGTAAGCTTGGAGTACATACCAGGTCTTGAGACAGAGGAATAGTAAACTGATGAACACGCCAACTCCTCCTTCGTTTTGTACTACTTATTCCTGTGTTTCGAGGTGGAAGCTAAACTATGCAGCTAGCTCTTCTCCAATTGCGACTCTTTGTACATCTCATACATGCCCTTAAATTATGTACAAAATCAGCTTATTCTTGAATTGGCTTTGCATATTTACAAAAGGATTAATACCGTTTTTTGCTACTATAGAGATAATACATCCATCTTCCAGCAGTTACTTCTTGATCTGACTGCATCTCCGTGCCAGAGTGTTTTTTTTTTTTTTTTTTTTTTTTTTTTAACTGAAAGGCGCTGCTTTAGTAGTGCTATACCAACATTATGTTGGTAAAAATTGGTTAATTGCAGGGAGATATAATGGCTATTGTCTTCCAAGCTTATGCCGCCTTTGGAATATCTTACGAAGAGACTAGCAAAGAAACAAAAGTCGTTTTAAGCTAGGAAAAATGGAAAGAAATAATCCTACCTTTGCGTGGTCTGACCATAACAATCCCACTTTTTGATTATTAGGAGGCAATCCCACCTTTGTATATCATCTTCTTTTAACAAACCTTTTTACCTACAACCTGTTAAACAGGTTAAAATGTTTTTTTTTTTTAAGCCAAGTGTCGCTCAATAATTGGTCAAAATAAAAAAAAAGTTAAAAAAGTAAAAACAAAAACAGGTAAAAAAATAAAAAATAAATAAAGAAAAAAACCCTCCACCCACTAGCCACCCCAACCACCGTGAAACCCTAACCCTTATCCTAGTCCCAGCGACAACCGGTCGGCCGCCACCCTAAACCCCCGAAAACGGCCGGCCAGAACCCCCTTACACCAAAAGCCACCCTCGAATTCAACCCTTGACCCAAATCCTACCCCCGAAACCACCACAACCACCACCCTTAAAACCATCACAACGGCTGGAAACCCACCTCTAACCGCCAAAAACTCCAGAAACCTCCATCCCAACACCGAAAACCCCCACCCAACCTCCCTAACCACCCCGAAAATCTCCCTTAAACCCGCCGAAAACTGCCGAAACCAGCGACACAACACCATTTCCCTGGCGAGTGGGTGCCGGCCAGCCGTTTTTGAAGGTCAAGGAGGGCGGTCGGCCGGTTTCGGTGGTGTCTGGGGTAGGGGCTAGGGCTTGACGGTGCTGGGTTGGTGGCTGGAGTTTTTTTTTTTTGTACAGTGAAATGAACGAATTAAAATTTAACATGTGGCATATAACCTACAAAAATCAATTACCAACAAGTCAAGGTTCATTAAAAGAAGATGATATTTAAAGGTGGAATTGCCTCGTAATAATCAAAAGGTGAAATTGTTATTATCAGACCATGCAAAGGTGGGATTATTTATTTCCATTTTTCCTTAAAGCTATGCTAGTTGTAGTCTTCATTGAATATCAAGAACCCGTATTTAATCTTTTAACATTTGCTTCTGATAATTACCCGAGTCAATGCATTGACGCAACATAGATTTGTTGATAATAAAAAAAAAATGTGACAAAATCTACAATGACGATAAAAATTTACAAGAACTCGTTTTAAAAAGAACTACTTCCTCCGTTTTTTTTAATGAATCAGTTTGACTTTTACACTATTCACATATGTCTCCGTTTTTTTAATGCATTACTTTGACTTTTACACTATTCACATGTCATGTTTGGCTTAATACTTTTTGTTATTATATAATTAGATATATCACAATGTCTACTTTCATAATATAATTTTATTACAATTTTTACTAATAAATAATTAACAATATTAATGATCAAAATTACATCTTGACAAATGTAGCCATCAAACTAATGCATATAAAAAAAAAAGAGGGAGTAATTCTTTAAATTAATTCCTTGTAATAACTAATTAATATTAACAAGTAACACCATTTAACAAATCATAGTTTACCATTTAATTTAAAAAGGTAAAAACAACACACCCTTAAACTAATCGACCGGTCTAACCCAATCCAAGATAAGCCGAAGTAACAATCCCAAGCGCGTAAACCCCAATCACAGAACCAACCAAACCACCACCAACTCTCCCAACCATACCAACCCCAGCAATCCCAACAACTCCAACACAAACCTTACTCGCTGCCGCCTTCGAAGCATTCGAAACAACAGCATCAGTAAACACAACAACAGCAAACTCTCTAAACTCGTCGGAATCTAGGGTTTCCTCCGGCGGAGAACTATGGCGAATTGAACGGTACGCGCTGTCGATTTGCGCGCGTGAAGGAGGGGAAGGACACCACGTGGCAATCAGAGGGGAGGATTGAGAATTGTGGAGACGGAGAGTGGCGTCGGAAAGTTGGTAAGCGAAGATTTTGGCCGGAAAAGTGTGGTGAGTTAGGGTTTGGAGATCGGAGAAGATGGTGTTGCAGGAAGAGGTGAATTCTGGGGAGGAGCGAAAATGGTGGCTTACTTTCTTCGATGGTGATATCCCCATTGATGACAATCGATTGTGTGGTGAATTGACTTTTACAGATTTTCTAATTTTTAAGCTGTTCATAACTTCATATTGATATGATGCAAGGTTAGGATATTTTGTTTCCTAAAAAAAAAAAAAAAAAAAAAAAAAAAAGTTAGGATATTTTGTAAGTTGTGTTTAGAAATACTTCTTTTTTTTTTTTTTTTAGATGACATCATTTGAGCTAATAAAGATATTAATCGTTCAAATTGTGCATTGTCAAGTTTGATAATAAAATGGTGTCAACTAAAAAAAAACGGAGGGAGTATTATAATTCTAATCTATTTTTATGTAATCGCCTTATTTGAACTTCAACCTAACATGAACATAATAGATTTAACCTTGAATATGTATTTAACAAACCAAATCAATTCCACTAGTAATTATTTCGAACCAACAGTTTGATAGTTGTATGAATACCACTTATCATATCATTTACCACTAATAAATAAAGTCGGTCTCGCAGCCAGGCCACGAGACAACGACACTTGGCATTCCAGTTTTTTGCCAAGTGTCTTGATATTATTGTGACACATATGATGTTAAGTAAGCGAATTTTGGTTAGATTTTTTAAGACAAAAATATTGGGTAGAGTTTTATTATCGATAAACTACTAATATCTCATATATACAAATTAATCATAACTTTTAATAAACATCTAATAACTCAGTTCTATTTTTATCATAAAATTCGTTTTACAAAGTTCTGTAAAATAAGATCCATTTATAATATACTAGATGGAAGCTCGTGCGATGCACGCTTTTTTTATACATAAATCTCAAGAAAAGATTATTTTCTTAATTTAACCCTATAAATTTTTTTATTATTTTGCTTGTTAGAAAACGGATAATTTGTTTTATTTTTATGCAACTTATAATGCGACCTTAATTTACTTAATATTAGTTATATGAAAATTATAAGTATGATAAATATTAGAATAAAATCATAATCCTATTCGTATTTTTTTAACCTATGATTCGTTTGTATAACGAAAACACGTTGTTCCACTATACATATATAGTTATAGAATCACTATTTTCTTTCACAAACAATAACTTAGACCACCATTATTCTTTTACTCCGTATCAACTTTATACAATAAAAATTAATAAAGTAAACCCAAAACTACAGGGTTAAAATAAAGACAGTGGGAGTAATAGTAAAAGATATGACTTTATAAATTTTTAAATAGTTAAATGATATATATATATATATATTATTAAGACTATTAAATAGATTCTCTTTTTCTTTTTATTTTGTTGATTGAATCAACAAAATAAAAAGAAAAAGAGGTCTTCTATATATTTAGATTCTATATATCGAAAGAGTGTACAAACAGAACTTCTTCTGATTATGATTATTTGGACGCACGCACCGACTGGTTACGAAGAAATCGGATTGCTAGCCTCTACTCGTGTCCTAGCTCGTCTCAAAGCTAAATTTGCTTCAATTACTTGTCTCTTTCCTTCCGCTTTCTTCAAGTTAGCTTCTGCTATTTCAAGAGTTTGCTGAGCTTCTTGTGAATCAATGTCACTACCCCTCTCAGCATCATTTACTAAAATCGTAATCTCATTATTGCCTATTCTAGCAAAACCTCCCATCAAAGCCATTGTTAACCATTGGTCGTTAAGACGTATTCTTAAAATTCCTATATCTACCGCTGTGGCAGTAGGGGCATGGTTTGGTAATACACCAATTTGGCCACTATTAGTAGATAAAATGATTTCTTTTATATATATATATATATATATATATATATATATATATATATATATATATATATATATATATATATATATATATATATATATATATATATATATACTACCAAGAGTGTTGCATTACTAAAATTAATCAAATTGAATAAAATTAAATCTTTATAATGAAATTTCATTATCATATGTCCTTAATAATAGAGTTATATGTATACACTACTACAATGGTTTTTACAATAATAATATAGATATTCTACCAGAAACTATAATACATAAAAAATCAAAATTATCAGAGACAACTCTTACAATTTTTAATTTTTTTCCCTATTATTGTAACATTATAGTTGACTTAGGGCCTGTTCTGATTTGCTGAACTGAACTGAATTGATTGAAGTTGAACTGAATATTTTATGAGAGAAGGAAATTAGGAAATGAACTGAAAATAAGTCGAAGATAATAGGCCCTTACTTTTCCAATCCACACATTTCTCTTTTGGATTTATAAGTGCTTGAAGAAATTTCTTTCAATTGGCGCATGGACATAATTCCTTCAAATACAGAATAATTAATATTAAGTTACAATTAAGTTGTTTAACAAAATTTAATACGATAAATAACATAATTAGATTAGGTAAAATAAAACAAAACATACATCTTATAAGATAATGAATAACTATCAATTTATTTTGTTTACCATCAGAAAGCCTTGATATACTTACATTATTTCCAAATTTTTTTGTTAATCAACGAATTAGACCTGAAAAAATTCACACCATGAAAAAGTGTAGATAAATAATATTCCATGTTTGTGTTTTTTTGTATAGTATATATATATTGTCTATTTACAATTGAAAAAAAAATCAAAATTATATTTTTGAGAGGATGTATACAAATCTTTAATATCATCATATCTTATATATTTGTGGAGTGGCAAATAAATCTCTCATAAAATTTTTTATCTAATCATGAAATGGGTTGCTAGATAAGATAAAAATTGAACATTATTGTTTTTTTTTTTTGGAATATTGATAAAGACTGAACGTTATTGTTATTTATTTATTTTTTTTGAAGAATATTGATTTTTTGTAACAAAATTGAAGAATATTAGTTAATTATTAATAATTTATATTTCTTTTAAAATGTTTTTTTTTAAAAAAAATTGATTAACGTTTTCTTAAAAACAAAATGAACATATATTTTCCTTTTTCAAATATTTAATTTTAAAGTGTTTGTATATAATAATTGTATAATTTATAGTTTTTTTAAAATTAAATCCTAATATCAAAAGATCATCTTTTAAAAAGATAATTTTTAGTTTTAAAATAATTTAAATCTTAATAAATCATTATTCATCGTTTTTACCTACGTGGAAAATTTTTTAAATTTCATTCGTCACTTATGCTTATGTGGCGAGTGAATTTTTTAATACTAAAATAAAATAAAAATCTAACTTTTAATTGGTCGAAATAATACCTTTGCTTATGTGGCGCGCCAAATGCTCTCAAAAAATGCCTACTTTATTTATATATATTAGATTATTTTTTTATTTTAAAAATAATACGGAGTAGAAAATTAGTAAAAATAAGTTTTAATCAGTAAAAATAATTTTAATTTGGTAAAAATACTTTCAGTTTAGTAAAGATAATTTAAGATTTTAAATACTCCCTCTGTGTTTTAATAAGTGTTACACATACCAAATACAGCCGTGTTTTAATAACTGTTACACTTTCTTTTTTGGCAAAAAGTTACTTTTAATATTATATCTCTCTCCTCTCATGGTTCCCACCCAAACCCACTACTACTTTTTTTTTTATTATTTCTTTCCTCTCACATTCATTACTTTTCAATAAATTATTATTAACTCCACTATCTTTCTTTTACAATTTTTTAATACTCCAACTACCCCACTCACTTCTTCTTTTGTTTAAATCAATTAAAATGCCTAAAACTATGTGCCGGTCAAAGTGTAACGCTTATTAAAACACGGCGGGAGTATGATTTCGATGTCTAAATACCCTGCATTATCAAAGCGGATTATATGACCGTATTTAACATTCAAGCAAAAAGGTTTATCCTAAAATTAAACAAACAACCTGAGCATCTCCCGGGGCACAAAACTAGTATCTTATATATAAAAAATTCCATACGTCAAAGAGAACTCGGCCTAAACCAAAAGGGATATGTACATAACAAACCAAACCAATCTGACCATTGGCAGATATAGGATTTTCGAGATGAAATACAAAAAAAAAAAATTCGGGTCTAGTTCACAATTGTTTTCAATCCAAAAATTATATTAAAAAAAATTATATTACAACCAAATTGATTTCAATTTAAACACAAGACACAAAATTCCATACTACAATCAAATAGTACTTAAAAATTCATCTTACAAGCCAAAGTTACTACAAATAACATCTAGCAAACAAATAGTACCCATCCATTATTTTACTAGTAGCCAAAAAAAAAAAAACAATGACCTTAGAGACCGGTTGTTTAATATAACCGGTCTTTTTGAACCACTATTGTAAAGAATAGAAAAAAATGACCATAAAGACCGGTCTCTTTTAATTACAAAAATAAAACAGCGAGAATAAAGTGGGAGTGATTGAATGAATACTGCATTATTACTACTAACATCTAAGAGACATGTTATTTAATATAATGGGTGACAAATTTTTTTTTAAAAAAAAGAATTCAACTTCAATTTTTTTTTTGGGCTTCTGATGCACGTGCACGGTGATGTAGCTCCGCCCCTGAATCTGACTGGTACTTTATTCTAACCAATATTTTAATATGTGTATGAACACCACCCAGGCACTTACAAATACAGAAACTCAATCATGATGAAGAAAACACGGTCGAAACCAAAATCGATCTACACATAACAAACCAAAGCAATCCGATTGGCACTTAATTCGAACCAGCAGTTTGATAGGTGTATGAATACCATCAACCCATACAAAAACTCAATCACAGCAAAGAAAACCCGATATGAATCAAAATCCTTTACAATCGGTTTCGGATCATCCTTATTGTTTGGAAAATTTAACGGGAATAATCCAACCTTTGCTCCGTTCTCCCATATTAAACAACCTTTCGATTATTCCGCATTAATCCAACCTTTGCCCCCCATTTTCTCCCAGCAACCCTTGTAGGTCAACAACCGGTTTCAATCGATTTTTATGATGACGTGGCATTTCATGATTGGTTTTTTGTTTTTTTTTAATTTACTTTTTTTTTTAAATTTGGGTTGTAAAATTTTTTTTTTAAAAAAGTTAAAAAAAAAAAGGAAACCACCCCTACTGTTTCTTCTTTCTCTCTCTTCCCCTATCACAACCATTCTTCTTTCTCTCTCCTTTCTCTGCCTTCCTCCATTACCACTTCACCTCCCTCAA